TTTTCCCATATAAAAATGGTGAAGCACTGTGGATAAAATCCCTTTCTAGGAGGAAAGATGTCAAAACACAGATTCAACCTTTTCTCAGGCTGAATCTTATTCTCAAAAGTGACTGTGTGCAAAATTTTAGGAAAATAGAACATTTTTAATTTATTTTATTACTATTGTTCATTATGATTTCATTCTGCTTCTTTTGAGATGAGCTATGAAGTCAGACTGTACTTGACAGAGAGGTCCAAATAAGCAATTCCAGCTTTCTATAAGCTCTGTTATGCGTCCTGAATTTAAGGGTCATGTAAATTCAGAATATTCTAAAAAAATCCCTAAAATATTAATCCATCATATGTAATTTCTTTACTATTAGTTAACAACACTAATTTTCAGAACACAGTTTCTGTCAGAAGTAAAAACAATATCATGTATTTCCTGTAGAGGTGCTTCAGGCTTTTTTCAGATCTTACCCCAGGGCTCTACAACCACTCCACTAATAAAGAAGGCATGTAGGTTTTTCAAATCCTAATCTACTTCTGTTCTATTGTAAAAGTAGGACATTACCATCAGAAATACTTGTTGAAATGCTGCTGTCCGGCAACATTTGACACATTTCTGCATGTAGCTGACATCCATTCTTTTGCTGATGCTGGCAGCATTACTTTGAATAGTGCTCTTTAACACCATGAATAACAGGTGAATGCAAACTATGGATCAGATTTTTAAGTACCTTCTTCTTAATGACAATGAGGCCTAATAAAAGCATCACACACTCCCCTAGAGAGAGCTCTTCCCTGCTTGGCTTAGAGATGCGTTAAGACTTGTTCCGACTCAAGTCACTGTGATTTAATTTTAATTGCAAAGAGCATTGGACACTGACTCTTCGGGGATTTAGAGAACTCTAAATGTGCTATTGACTGGTTCACATTCTTAAAGTCCAGTGAAAATCAGATGAATTTCAAAACTCCTCCCCAGGAAATTAACCCACATGGCAATGCTGTCTTTTTAGGCAAAACTCCGGAGTTGTTCTGTTGCAATCTGCTAAGTGCTGAGATGAACGGCACAGCTGTTTGAAGCTGCACTGTCTTTCCATCACCTGTGTATACTTTTGCTGTTTGTGCTTCCTGAAAGTCTAAACATATTCCATTTAGAAATAAATATACATTTAAATCCTTTACCTACCTAGCTCTCTCTATTGTAGACTGCTTTGGTTAAAGGGGAAAAAAACCATTGGGAAAACCCCTGCCTGTGAGCACATAGCCATAGAGTATTACCTAAGCAATTCAGTACTGGGAAAAAAATGACATTAATAACTCTCTTTCTGAAATGAAATGGGTAGGGCAAAAAGCACACATTTGCGATTTTTACAGCTCTCTTTGGGAAAAGTAGAAAGACTAGTTTAACTTTCATTCTAGCAGTAGATAACGAACGGGTAGTCAGATTTTGTAATTTCTAAGTCCATGGTAAGTTTCTCCTACAGCATGCTCTAAAAAAAAACCTGCCAGTTGTAAGTTATATATATTACCAGCCAAAAATAAACCTGTTCAATAACACTTGACATGAATTTTTTTGGGGATTTTAAATATTATAGCAGAACACAAGAAGCAGAGGAAACAATCATCTAAATAATCAATGGTCCAGCTCTGCAATTCATCACTTTCAGAAGAAGAGCCTGGCATTAGCAGGACAGCTTACATCCTGGTATTTGACTAACCATGAACAAGTAGGCAGTCAGCATACAGACAGGAGAATTCTTGGAAAGCTCTCCTTACTAATCTTTCCACAGCATCAGTGCAGAATCCCAAAATGCACTTAGAGCAATTCCCACTGAGCTTCAAAAGGACGTAAGAATCCAAAAGTGTTCGTAAGAATCCAAAAGTGTTTGCGCAAGTAGGTGGATAAGACTGTGACCATTGATCATGTGAGCTCTGAGATTGCACGAAGGCCACTGTGATGGAGTTTCTAGACAGTCCATACCCATCTCCAGTGTTTAGTCTAATTAGAAAATATCCACCGAGTTATGTTGCCTTCATTTGTCAAGGTAGGTTGCCAAACGACGACAATGCTAGCAGCCAGAATTTGGTTAGTCGGTTTCTGCATATAGAAGTAGCAGTTAAGACATCTATACAGATATTTTTTTCAGTTTCCTGAATATCACCAGCTCAGACATGCCTTGAGAAGCTGGAGCCAACACCAACAGCCTGCATGGATGGCCCAGCAATTTTATCCATTTGTCATTTATTGACGATGCAGTACCTTTTCACAAAACTAGCCCTAGCCCTACAGCAACTGCCATACATCTGTACAGCCATGTATGACCCTCCCCTGCACATGATGGCCAAACCACTACACTTCTGCTCATTTCCTCCTATGCAGCAAAATCATTGTTGTCTGTCATGTTAAATTTCCTTGGTAAGTAAAGAGATTCACTAAAAGGCTATTATCCTAAGAGCAGAGTGGTGGAAGTTTTGTAGTCAGACGGAAATGCTGCGTTTCACACTGAAAAGAAAAATCATTGAGTGGAATCTAAGCTGCATATTAGCCCACTTCTTTGACTTTCCAAACTATATGCAGTTTAGTAATCCTAACCCAAATTCTGCAAGGCTTTGAAATGAAAGTGTATCTAAGACAGTCATAATATACTTTACCTGAAATGTCTTTGTATTTAAAATGAAAAAATAAATTCTAATTGAGGTAACTACAATAAAATATATGCAGGTTCAAGTTTCAATGGATTTTTACATCTTTAGAAAGAAAATGCAGTTTGAAATACTGCTTGGCTCTGTTTGCAGGGCAAGGCCTAGATGAAACAGGGTGGAATATGCAATGCATATTATGATGTTTTTTCAATACTCTTGGAAACTTAGCGAATTGCATATGTAATAGAGCCCAAGCAATGATGGAATAAAGAATGACAAATAGCTTAGGATTTGTTATGACAACTTTGACATAATAGCACTATCCAATTTTTTTTAACAGTGCCTGACACAGCAACACTCTCAGGAAGAAAGCTGCTTAACTGCTTCACCATAAACAAGACTATGCAGTTGAGGATCATGACAACACCAGTCAACATCAACAACAGTTTCCAATTTTATTTGAGATACACGGAATTGTTTATGTTCCAGCTGCAGTTCTCTGTATGGGAAACATGATGTGGGCACATGCACACTTAGATGGCCAGTGGGTTGGGAGTAAGCTGGAACTACCAGTAAAGTCTAATGGAATCAAAAATTACTAATAGGGCTCCTAGGGAACTAGAGACAACTTAAACAGTGGATTTCAATTTATATAACAAATAGAGGAATTACAGACATGTAATGACATCCACCACTTTTGAGCAGACATTTGTGACGATTATCTCCACCAATTTCTTTGCAAAGATTCTCTCTAACCTAATTTTACCCAAAAGCAATGTAGAATGAAGTGAAATTCTAAAAAAACAGAACAGAACTCAAATGCTTTTCCAGAAGACAAAAATCTTTCACCTGATTGCTTTCAAACCACCATCTGTTGACTGTCAGTATTTTTCTCCACAATTAATTCTGCTACCATGCTTTGGAAAATCTGACAAAATGTCAATAATTAGATGCCAGCCACTTAAAGTGGTGTAAAACTTGGCGGTTTCACTTTGCAGGAGTGCAGGCAAATATTTTATTTGGTGTCAATCCACATATGTTCCCTCTCCACCACTCTCCGTTTGTGTTTCGATTTTTTAATAAGTCCAAACAAGCAAATGAATAAGCAGTCAAAATTTCCACATTTTACCCGGTTTTACTTCACAGTCATAGAAATAAAAACCAGGCAGGCATATCTTCATTAATCAACAATGAACTAAGTTAGATGTTCAATTCAGAAAGAAATGCAAGAAAACTTATCATGTCATTGCAGTGATTTACACCCATCTAGCCATCCAAAAAACCCAGGATCATGATGGTGTTAGCTCTCACTAGCACCATTATTGTTTGTACTCTAAATTCTGTAAAGTGCTGCAGGGGCATGCATTTATAATGCTATATATGAGAATAATAGTAGCAATAATTGTTTTAAGTCCTGCCAGCATTTTACATCATCCCAGCTGCTTTCTACTCTTTCCATCCACCCCCATGCATCTTAGAATTGCAGCTGACTGGATCACCACTGCTGTTGTCAATGTGCCCAATTCTCATCTTTATCTGGTAAAAATCATGACTGATGCAACAGAAATAATAGCAGGTGAAATTTGTTTTAAATAAGGGACATACACCACAGAAGTAATAACCATTGAAAAAGTCTGACTGTGTTAACATTTCTGTAGAGAACACACTCATTGCATTCTTCTATGGAGAAACTGAAAGAAGTCTCAAATCCAAGTAACTACAGGTACCTCATGTGGGAAGCTGTGATGCAGAGAAAAAAAAGGGCAAAGAGATGAGAGGGATCAAAGAAAAGGAGTAACGAAAATGAGATGGGGACATAAAATATTGGTAGAAATAGCTAAGACAGAAGAGTTTGAAAACTGTGATGCAGAAGGAGGATAACACAGACGAGAAAGGAAACTTTAAAATACAGGATGGGATGAAGAACAAATGTATTACAGATGGACTGGAGGAGAGACGATGATACAGAGAAAAGAAAGGAGACTGAGCATGGAGGTACCTAATTACAAATATCCATTGAAAGCCAAGATAAAATTACAGGTGGAGATGATAAAAGTTGAAGAAAAAATGATCTAAGAAGGTAATCCAAAACAGAAAGCTATGGGAATGAGAGACAATAGCGTATCTGGAAACAAGATAAATAATATAAAAACTGTACAGGATAAAGGCAGAATCAGGATTTGAGAAAAGTTATGAGTGGGATAATAAAAGCATGAATGGAAAAACGGTTAAAAAAAAGCACAGAGGCAGGACCCAAGACGATATGAAAGAAAGAAGACCTTAGGAAAGGGATGGGAGTGAAAAGCAACAGATGAAGCAGACACTTGGATGTAGACCTTGGTGCTACCCCTGCATGCAAGGTCATCTTACCAATCCGCCACAGGTGCTGAAGGAGGCGAAGGAGCCCGGGTAGCGGAGGACAGCACCGCTGTAGTAACAAGCTCTCTCAGGTTGTGACTGCGCAGCACTGGGTGGACTTTTGCCCTCACCCCCGAGCCGCTCCTCCACAGCCAGGAGCCAGGAAGCGGCTATCTCTCTTGAGCAGCAGGTAGAGTTCCCGAGCAAAAGCTGGGATCCTCAACAGCACCTCATCTCCATCCTCTGCTGGAGGTGGTGGTGGTGGAGATGGTGGCGATGGCAATTGAGAGGCAGCACCAGACCCCTGGGGCAGGGTGGACCAGTGGTAAAACTCCTGAGACTCATACTCATCCTCGGTGTCCTCTTCCTCTGCTGCCTCCCCCACAGCCTGTGCCTGCCCGTCCACCGAAGAGGAGACTGAACGCACCTCTCGGGAACTGCCCGCCACCGGGCCAGGTGTGGCATGGGTGCTGAAGGTGCTGCTTCTGTTCCCACTGCTGGGGTCGGCATTGCAGCCCCCCCCACCACCACTGCCACCTGCTGGCTCCTGCTGGCCCGGGCTCCACAGCACAGGGAAGACGATCTCCCACTCCTCAGTTTCTTCTGAAGCATGGAGACCTGCGGGAAGGCCAGCAGATACTTCAAATGAGTGGTGCACCCAGCAGCACCCATTGCTTGCCAAAAATCTACCCTATACCCCCCACAACACGCTCTTTCTGAGACCCAGACCACCAAGCATGCCACCCAAAATACAATGGGCTTCATTTGTCCCTTTCATCCTGTCTTACGCACGGCAGGGGGACCAGCTGCTAGATGTGTCTGACACCTGTTGAGGTGTCTGGGACACACTACGGTCCTAGAGAACACAGAGAGAGCTGGAGCCTAAGCTGGGCAGAAGTCATGTTTATGCCAACAGCTGGGGGTGTTCTTCTTCATAA